GCATCGATAGAAGAGACGACATGGCATCGATCGAACGTTCTCCTTTGCCACTTCCTCCTCCTCAAGCTATTCCTCCTCCTCCTCTCTCTCTCTCTCTCTCTCTCTCTCTCTCTCTCCCGCGCGCGCGCGCGCGTACACACATCGTGGCATCGATTGAAAAAAACAGAGACCATAAAAAACTGGAAAGCAGAAAAGGAACAGAAAAGCAACAAAAACTGAGCACACGCACACACATACACGTGGAGGGTTAACACTCACCTTCATCCATGGTGGCCCCGTCGTCTTTAAGACTCCACGCAATGAGCAACCGCCTTCACGATTCAGAGCCCAAACTCCAGCAAAAGCTTCTTGACCACAAATCCGCACGAACCGCGCTCGAAAATGTACTTGTGTGCGCACGTGATGAGTGTGTGTGTGTGTGTGTGTGTGTGTGTGTGTTTGTGTATGGGGTCTGTGTGTGTGTGTCTGTGATAGAAGTATTGTGTGTTTGTAGCGTAGCGAGTCGACAGCCCGAATAGCCACTAGACAGCCCTCTCTCTCTCTCTCTCTCTCTCTCTCTCTCTCTCTCTCTCTCTCTCTCTCTCTCTCTCTCTCTCTCTCTCTCTCTCTCCCTCCTCACACGCACACACACGTCCAAGTCCAGCGAAGGGTAGCAGACGGACCGAGTAGCCAGTCGAGAGTCCAGCGTAGCATAGGAGAGTAGCCGTCTCAAAGTCGAAGTCGAACAGAAGGTCGAGTAGCAAAAGTCGAGGGGCAAGGACCCACTTGCACGGATTACGAGAATCTGGCCGTTGATCTTTTGTATCTACGGTGAATATCGCTTAATTCGTGCAAGTGGGACCTTGCCCGCGTAGCAGAGTAGAGTAGAGTAGTAGTGCAAGTCGAGCATGGCAGAGTGGAGAAGCAAATCGAAGTCGAGCGTCGAGTCGAAGTTGAGCACAGGGGTGCGGTTACAGTCGAAGTCTTGTAGTAGAGTAGTATAGCCAAGTCGAAGTGGCAGCGTGAAAGTGGAGCATAGGGGGGCGCGTAGCAAAGCAGAAGTCTGCCGTCTTCCCCCGACCATAATGCACGCTGAAAATGAACGTATACAAGCCGTCTTTCCGGTCCGATGCAGTCAAAATGAGGCTGCGTTGTGTTCGCGGGAAGACGGTAGACGGTAGTAGTAGAGCAGCTTCATTACCGAAGTAATCCAGCGTCGAGTCGAAGTAGAGCACAGAGGCGCGGTTTCTTTCTGGCTCCGCGCGTCCTCAAGAAATTAGTTACGCGCGCGGTACCCGCCTTATCCCGCGCGTACCGCGCGCGGTACCTGCCAAATGCCGCGCGCGGCACTACCCAGCGGCCCAGCGCGTGGTGCCGGGGCGTGGTACTGCCGGCCCCGCGCGATTTGTTATGTTTCGTTTTTTTTTTTTAATTTGGACCATTTCTCTCGATTAATGCGTGTAATCCTTGCGTGTAATCCTTGCGCGATTTGTTATGTTCGCTTTTTTTTTTAATTTGGACCATTTCTCTCGATTAATGCGTGTAATCCATGCTTTTTTTTTTCCCTTTTTTTCCCCAAATAGCCCGAGCAGCTGCTACCTTCTTACCCCGAAAAAAACGTACGTACGTTGTAAACGAATACAACGTACGGTGGAATACAACGTACGTACGTTATGCAACGAATTTCAGGGCACAACTTTACCACGGCGGCCTTCCGTGGGGTACAACGTACGTACGTTATATTCGAATTTTGATTTACGACAGGGTGGCCCTGCCCCCTGGAATATATGCACGAAAAAAAAAAAAAAAGAACCACCAACAAAAGCCCTATACCCGTATCCAGTTCGCCCCTGAAATAGGCACGTCACAGAAGGGGGCTCGCTCCACCACTCACCACATGCATTGAAAACAAATTTTGGTCGTGAATCTTTCCATCTATTAGGTGAAGTTTCATTATTGTGAGAGGCGGAAGGCCCAGACCACCC